TTTTCTACTTTATTTTCCCATTTATTTTGTAAGTTGTTACCCAAGCTTTTTTTTCTTTTTTTTTAACACAAATCCCATACATTTTCAGTCTCCAGTCAATATATTACACTCCTTTAAAATGATTTCATGGATTTAATCATGAGTGTGTCACACCTCCAATTGTTGTTATATCATCATTATTATTTATATTAATAATACTAATAGTCCGTCAGTACTGTGCAAGCATAGTGCTTGGTTATGTCTAATTGTACAGCTTAACCTAAACTGTCACGCTATGGCCCCAGAAATGATCTTAGATCTAGTGCATTAGTGGTCATATGTGTGACTGTAATGTTAATCCAACCACTTTACATTATATGCTACTTGTGTAGCAAAAAGCCTTGTTGTAGTATCTAAAATATCTCCGTTCTAGATCGTATAACAAAATCTAATCAAAAATAGTTTGGGCCATTTCAATAAAAATAAAATTTGTCTGTAGATATTAACACATCCAGGTCTGCAATTTCAAAGGATTTGGGAGCAACTGTTATCAGTGGTCACTTTCTTGTATATAATGAAAAAAAATGTGTATGAAGCTGTCAAGTTTGTCGTTTTCTCATCTTGAAATCTTTCCGTGTTTAAAAATACCTAAGTAGTACGTGACAGGTGAATTTCTTTTCTCAGTTTGTTTTTATATATAAATATAAAAAGTATCCCTTGGTCATTTTACAACAGTTTTGTTATTGGAGAACTTCAAGCTTATTATTTGAGGATATTTTAAAGATGAAAAATAAAAGATGGTCACATATATACCATGTAAATACGGGTATGTGAAGCCAACTGTTTTGATCACCATTAACTGTTGTCTGATGTTGTTCTGTGTTTGGAGATTCCCTCTTGCATGTGTTTTATTATTCTGAACACAACTTACTCATTTCCCCAATTTCCTCCAACCTCCTGAATGTTTCTCTGTTCAACCGTAGAAAGTGATTTTAGGGGAAAAGATTTTGTTTCCAATTAAGGTGCAACAATTTCTCTCAAATCAGGTGAAGTGAAGCATCTGAGTTTTTTTGTGTGTTATGATTTTAATGCTCACTGTGTCCACGAATTTGGGGCCATTGTCTATGAAGTTCATTTGTAAAGTTGCTACCCTTCAGCACCTCTTGTTTTAAGATGCACTTGTAATTTCCTGATATACCATCTTCTATTATAATATAGTAGTTGGGAATGGTTAATCACAGTACCTTATTTGTCTATGTGTTTGTATTAATTTGCACCACAAGTTTATAGGAATCACAGAAATACATATAATGGGTAAGATTATGAATAATGTTATAAAATACATATGGATCCACTTAAATTATAAGCTTTTTTGTTTTGTTAACTTTGAGTTTTCTAGACATGTTCTGTTTAAAATTGGTATAGGACACAGTTTTTTTTTTTTTTTTCAGTTTTATTGGTTTGAATGTATTTATGTAAATAGTTAATCCTATGGATTTAAAACATTTGATCTAGTCTGAGAGACTTTTTAAAAAATATTTCCAAGTATAAATCTTTTAAGACATAATATTTATAAACGGTCTTATAAGAGAGAAAAACAGATTCATATTGAATCTTTTAGTAACTTCATTGTAAGTGTAGATTAACTAGGGGGAAACTGTCCATTTCCGAACTATAATCACACATGTGACAAGTTTTCAAAGATTGAATAATTGGTCTCTTTTTGGCAGATATTTTTGACTAGCTGTTAGTCCAAAATAATGGAAGAGGTATTATGTTATGGAATCAAGAGTAGGTTAAAGGTTTACTTTTTTGTTGGTACGTTTTGTTGGATCTTGTTTTGTTTCTTTACTTCTGTCAATTGCAAGTGGCTGGTAACACTCCCAGTGTTTTATTTTTTTTTACCATGGATCCTGCTGCAGTTGAGCAACTGGCCAATTTATAAAAATACCAGCATTGCCTATTGCTTCAAAATTAGAGCTATTAGATTATCTTTATTTCTTATGATGGTAGTCAACTCTAAGTCCAGAGATGTGGCATTTTTTCCCCCATAAATACGGGAAAAAATGTTAACACTTGTCAATTCTTGTGCTTGTTCTGTATAATCATTTTTACTCACCATTTTAAGCGTCAAACGTAATACACTGCTTCCTGTTGGCAGCAGTATTGATTATTTGTAACTTGTAATTAAACCATCTTTTCTCTTTTCCAGGACAGAGCTTCCAGGAGCACAGAAAGGAGGGTTTTTCAAAAATCAAACGCTCTGTACCCTTTTTCATTGTAAGATGGCATTGGTTTTCAAAAGGACTATTTAGAAATGTACAGTAGCTCTACAAAGGAACTCCAAAATAACTTAAGTGTGTGTGTTTTTTTTGGGGGGGGGGGGGGGGGGGGGGGGGGGGGGGGGGGGTTTAGTAGCAGATTGCTTGAGGCAATACTGACAATGTTTTCAGGCTGAAATTCTGTGTAGCTGTTTTATACATTAGTGTTGGAGTCATTCTGTGGCATAGTTGAGCGATTGTGATCATAGCGTATGTACGTTAAAGGGATAGTTCACCCAAAAATGAAAATTCTCATCATAAGGTCCTTTCGCACCGCTTTAGTTCCAGAACTAAATGTACAGTACTGGGACGATTTTGCGCGAACTATTTCCCAGTACCATTTAAAGGGTTGCATTTGCACCGACAGTGTATGTAAGACGGTCGACACAGCGTCGTCATTTGTGCGCTGCATTCAACAACGTAAACAAAGAACAACGTTAACAACAGAAGGATGGAGGATGCTGTGATCGGAGCTGTGTTTTGTTGTGTCTCGCGGGCTTCACAACAATAGAAATTGAATGTCGAAATAAA